ATGGGGGGAGGATGCAGATGAATTCAACCCAGAGAGATTCTCAGAGGGAGTTTCTAATGCAGCAAAAGTTCAACCTGCTTTCTTCCCATTTGGATTGGGTCCTCGAATATGCATGGGCCAAAACTTTTCTATGATGGAGGCAAAAATGCTACTATCTTTAGTTCTTCGATCCTTCTCATTTGAACTTTCTCCATCATATATTCATGCTCCTACTGTCATTATGAATACTCTGCCTCAACATGGAGCTCGTATCATCTTTCACAAATTGTAATCGTAATCACCTAAATGTGTTAGATGATTTATTTTGAGTTAATTTCTATATGCAATATTTGTGATGTTGCTCAATGGGACAGGTTTCTTGGCACCATTTTTTTTGTTTTGGATATGGCTTCAATGTCATTATCTGTGGTTAGAATTAAAATAAAAGGCACAAATTCAAAACTTTCATCGGTGTTTTGTTTTATTTTATATCTGGTTCGGTAATTATTTTGTTTTTTATTTTTCATATTTTTAAAAATTAGATTCGTAAACATATTTGTTTTGTATTTATCTTTAAAAAAAATATTTTTTAAATCTAAACTAAAATTTCAAAAAGTTGTTTTTGTTTTTGAAATTAAGCCCAATGCATTTACAAGAAAGACTTTTATCCTATATTTTCATTGAAATAACAATTTAGTTTCTTAATGCTTTAATTTGAAATGATTTAGTCAATGTATTTTCAAATTGGTAGTCGTTTAGTCCCTATGTAATAATTTAATCTATGTATTTAAAGTTTGTGATAATTTAGTCCCTATTGTAATTTTTTTTTGTAAAGTTTATTATATATGTAGATTGATAAAACGACGAAGGACCAAATGTATTTATAAATTACAAAGACTAAATTGTTATATGATAGAAATCGAAATTTAATTTTTATGAGATTTTTATAGTTAGGGACTAAACTTTTACAAATTTTAAACTATGAGACTACGTTGTTACAACTAAAGTCCACGACTAAATTGTTACCGAACATGACTAAATCTTTACAAAAAGTTTAGAGACTAAATCATTACTTTAATGAAAATACAAAAATCAAATATGCTTTTTAATATATTTCTAAATTTTAAATTAAAATATATTAAGAAAAATATTAAATGGGAAAATTGACAGTGAAAATATTTATTCATGAAATAAATATAAAATGGTTAAATTACAACCTCAGTTCATGAACATCACGATTGTATCCTACTTTCTTCTAAAATAAATAAATAAATAAAAATAATAATAAAATAAGAAATAATGATGTTATGGTACATGGTTTCTAAATTTTAAAAGAAACCACTTAAATTTTAGAATAACTTTTATCGGTCTTTTGATTTTTTTTAATACAAGATAGTGGAGATTGAAATCTATTAATTAGAGATATATACGCATTATTGCTTTGATTTGTCTTTGATATTGTTACTTAAATATTAATGAAAGTTTATATCAACTAACAAGTATCGATTTGACACAATGTAACACGAGAGAATGTATATTATAAATTGAATAAAATAAAGTTGAACAAACCAAAATAATTAGTTCTCGACTTTTACAGTAACACGAGATTGGAGATTCCAATCTTACTAGAAAAAAAAATTTAATTAGAAAGAAAAATTACATCATAAAATTTCCCTGCACAATAAAGCTGTGTATTTCCTAAAATTTCAAAATCAAACAGTAAAAAAGGAGACCGCGGGAGGGATTCCAAAGATTTTACAATTTATCCAAAATTTTCAGATTTCGTTCAATCAATCTTCAAGCAGGGCAATGCACAAATTACAAACAGTACCAACATTCGAAAACCCCTGCCAAATTTCTTCTTCCAATCATCTTCTTCCACGACACAATACCAACGACTCAAATCGCTGACTTCGAATCACAACCGGTCAATTTGAGTCGTCTACGGTAATAATCGAACCACCCGATCAAAACCCAGTTCCTAGCGCCATCGGAGCACTGCACCAACCGTTAACAGCCGTCAGAAGGGAGCTGCGTTTCCCTTGGGAGAGGCCGTAGTAATCGTGGATTTGAGAGAAAAAAAGGTTTGGGAGTGGAAATGGAGGTTCAGCTTTGATGGGTTGTGGTGAAACAAAGGAGCCCTTTTGAGATTGTTGCTCGAAAGAGTGAGAATCATGGGTAGCGAGGAATGCTCGCTGCTCAAGAATCTGAGGCTGGAAATTGATGGAGATGATGGAAGGTTTACTCTCTGCTTCTGGGTTTATCTCATGAGTTCTTCCACATTCCCTGTTACAATCCTTCATCAGGTTTGTTTAACTTTTGCCAATCTTATATTTGCTAATGTTTGTTTTTTCCCCTTGATCTTGTATCCATTATCGTCTTCCTGTGTATTTTTTATGTGGAAACCTGTTTCTTTTTTGTTTTCTTGGTCTAAGAATTGGGTGTTTTTGAGCACCCTTTGTTTGTAGAGTGACTGTTCTATGTTTGTAGTACATCTGATAAAATCCTCGATATTCATTTGTCTTGCCTCTGACCTATTCTGAACATCATATTTTTCAGGCATCTTATAATATGTGTGTATGCGCAGTTTTTTTCCATGTGTGTGTTTTTTTTTCTTTAATATTTTTGGCATCTTTTGAAACGAGCCCACCAGTTCTTACACTGATCATGTAATAGTAAGGAAGCCATATACTTTGTTGCTTTTAATTGTCAAGCTCTTTTATGAACACTATGACTAGAACATGGAAAATTATGCTAAATTTAAGTAGGTTACCTCCTTTATCTCCTTTATCTCCTTTGATTTTTTTTTTAACTTCTTTTACTTTGGATAAAAATTTAGTTTCTTCTTCAAAGTTACATGCTTTGGTAATTCGGGTATTTCTTATTTGGAAGTTATAAAATATCATTGCAAAGGAATCCGTATGGATATTTGAAATGTTCCCCTAGTTGAGATGCAGTGATCAATATTATCTTCTGATTTCACAGTGAAATCCAATTATCTCAATCTAGGAATACAATTCTCTCATTACGTGCTTTGATAGTTTCTAGGAATGATGCCTTTGGATTGAGCAAATTTCTAGATAAGTTCACTTTCTTGGTTTTCACATGTCAATGGTTTGAATTTCTAGACTGTTGAGTTGAGTACCATTTTACCTTTCCTACTTTGTTTTGGATGAGTTGCTTCAGGTGCAGTTAGATTCATCAGGCACGTCTCCTTTTCTCGTTCTTAGTGAAAGGAATAAAATAAAGATTATGCCATTGACTGCCTTACACAAAGCTGATGAAGGTTCCAGCCCTGGTGGTTCTTCTTCTGGAAATGAAGTTTCGCATGACTCTGATTTTATGGAAAAATGGGTTCACATTGGATGTGAGGTATTATCAGCTCGACTACTTAACAAGTCTTTTGCAGCATAATATTTTTCCAAACTGTGTTATTTGATTAAATTGATCTTTACTCTTACTATATTCTCATATTTCCTGTTTGAAATATGTTGCAAATTGTTTAAGTAAAACAATTTATTATAAAGGATATGTGGTCGATGAAATTGCTGATTGGCGAACCAATTGCTATAGATATTTTACAGCTAAATATAGGATGAAAGAGATGCTTACTTTTTGAGTTTTCATTAGCACACGTGGCCTTTTTCCCCATTAGCACATGTGCTAGCCACAAAAGAGATGCTTACTCTGAGTTTTCATTTTCAGGTCTCCACTGATTTTGTCCGGCTTCATATTGATGGGAAAATGGTTGGAGAAAAGTCTGCGTCATCCTCACTTAGTGAAGATGCCATTCCAAGGGGTTTGGGGAAGATTGTTTTAGGCAGTAATGGTGAAGACAACAGTGTGCAGGGCTATGTTCATAATGCAAAAGTTTTTCCCTTGGTTTCATCGATTAGGGATCATTACGTCGAGGTACGGTGGGACTGTCTTTCCATATGTTGATTTTAAAATGAACTAATTGAATTTCATGGAAAAACCAAGAAAATTTTTCTTTGATCATTTATGCTGCTACAATACTTACCAGGACCTACCGGTTAAGTTATTTATCGACAACTCTTCCACCATGGAGATTGAAGAGGGCAGTGATGGCATTTGGAATATAGTTGGTGGCAAGGTTAGGGAGCTTTCTGTTACCTGCTTCTAGTTGCAATGGTTACGTTTTTTACCTCTCTTGATGCTAATTTTTTGCTTCTTCCTTGCAAGCCGCAGCCATCTTGCCGTAGAAATTTTGCGTTGGATGTTATGCTGTTAGATTCCTCCGGCCAGCCTGTTTTGAAGGAACTCGAGGTTTGTGCCAATGATATGATAGTGGTCAATTGTAGTCTTCAAGAGATTGCCAATTCCCAATTGGCAAGGGCTTGGTCTCTTGGTCATACTGGCTTAGAGGTCTCAAGTTCATACCTTCCAATGAGTTTAATAACAAAAACCCTTGATGTCTCCTAGGTCCGGGCTTTGAGGCGGGTGCGGGTACCCATAGGTATAGGGGAGTAAAGCTCCGACTCCTAGTTATTAAAAAAAAAAAGGAGATAGTGGTCAATTAGGTGACATCTGGACGCTCACTTTGGCAGTTTTTACTCATTTCGTGACAGGTTGTTGCCTCCCTCATCTATGCTGATAGCGGGGAAGCTGTGGAGAAGTCAGGTGATGAAGAAGCTCCCCTTTTGGCAAGCTACGATGGTGTTGAATTTGCTTCAAGTGACAGACCAAGTAAACTGTTGCATGGGCGTGCATCCTTTAAGCTAAAAATATCTCAGGTAGATGGCAGGATAAATCTGCTGATATTTGTTCGAAATTTTCCAAAATTCCTGTACATTGTTATTCTATCATTTGTCTTCAAAATGTTTGAAAGTTGTGGTAATTAGGGATCATGTTACATCTGCATACTAGGAATTTCTTTGTCTGAGAACTCTATACCCCTATGAGCAATACAGTCATCCTTTTTCTTTCTTTCTTTTTTTTTTGGATTGATTATGCCCATGATCCTCTTGTTGCCATGTACAATCTTTTTTAAAAATAAATTGATGTTATATATTGATGGATACAATGAGGAACAGAAAGTTCCTCTTGTAATTTGAATCAAAACTAGATTTCCTCTGCCTTATTCTTTTCAACTTATGTTATAGTTGTTCCATAACTTTCTATTTTGCGATTTCAGCTATCTTCTAAATGCGATAACAAGCTCTTCCGCATTAGATTTTGCATACCTAAAGTTGAGAGGTATCCCTTCCTCGAGGCTCTCTCTTCTCCAATTCGCTGCATCTCAAGGAGTCGAAACACTCGCATGTCAACTCTGATGTGGAAAAGATCTACCTTCCATCCACATGATGTATCTCGGTCATCTGGTTTGGACAATGGAACATCAGAACATGAACATGTTTCTTTAGATGAAGAAAAACCAAGTCCACTATTGAAGAGGATTAAATTAGGACAAGATAGAGTTTTACCAACCTCTAATGATGATGCTGCATTAGGGCAACCAGATGAAGAATGCAATTCTCATTCTTTTACTGCTAATGAGGTATTTGTTATTTACTTTTTAAATTTGATCTAACATGCACCCCAATAATGGATGATTGTTCAATAAAAGTAAACTTTGTAAAAACAAGGATGGTTAGATTGCATTCTGAATGGAAATTCTTATGCTTTTGTTAGTCTAGTGACTTATCTTAGTCACATTGTTAACAAGTCTTGCTGTTCTAGGCTGAAAATGGATTTCGCACAAATTTAACAGAAAGACCCAAAAATAATGGATCGATAGGAGCCTCTCCATCGGACTCCGGGAGCACTGAAGCCAGACATTCGGCTCTAAATAGAACTGCAACCAGTGGAAATCCAATCTCGGATGTTAACATTTTCAAATATTGCCTAGCAGGTTTATCTGAGAAGTCTCTTCTGCTCAAGGAGATTGCAACCTCTGTGTCGAAGGAAGATGTTATGGACTTTGCCGACCATGTTTCCCTATATTCTGGATGTTTACACCACAGGTAATCTACAATCTTAATTACACGGTAATTGTACTTTCTTTGGGATTTCTGTGACATTATTCCCCAGGGTTCATCAAAACACTGAATTTTCTTCTTTTGTTTTGTGTGCTGTATTATACTAGTTTCCTCGCTAGTCTTAAATTGCAATTGCAATATAATTTTTTTAACCTTGTGTGATGTCTTATACTAATTCCTCCCCTATAGACTTACCTACTAATCTAATTCGCTTCTAGTAAGACAAGGAAAAAAAAAAGACAAGACTTCACTTTTTTCTCTCTCTCTCTCTCTCTCTTTTCACCTCAGGCATCAAATTTTAATGGCAAGAAAGTTAGTAGAGGAGGGAACGCGAGCTTGGAATTCAATCTCACAAAACAAGAATCATGTTCACTGGGAGAGTGTTGTTTTTGAGATTGAAGAGCAATTCATGAGAATTGCTGGCTGCAGCTCTAGATCTCTCACTCAGCAGGTATTCCCCATCTTCTCTTGCAAGAATTAACCATCTGTAATCATTCAACTTTGAAATGATTTATTTGGATTCAAATCTGGTTGGGCCTGTTTTATGGTGGTAGGATATCGATGAACTAAACCTTTTTTTTTTCAAAATTAAAATGAAAAAAATTAAAACTAGTCACCTTCTAACTACTCGTGTTGTGTATTTAACTTTAACATGTATCTCTCTTTGTCCAAAGAAAGTAAAAATTTTTATAGGGAGCTCCTGATGGTGTGCTAGGTACTATGTGAAAAGCTAATGATGAAGCTCAAGACCATCTCTTCATCAGTCCATTAGCCTCTAGGTTCTGCCATTCCTTATGAAATTCCTTCCATTGGTCAACTGTCTCTTGTGACGGCATCCTTTTAAAGCCGAATCTAGATCGGTGTGACTGAATATTCAACAACTGGTTACTCTTGGTTATTATGACTGACTGAGTACTAGACATATTTTCCTTAAAACGTCTTACTTAAAAGAGATTGTTTGTAAAATCAGGACTTTGAGTTGCTGAGGAGAATTTCTGGTTGCCAAGAGTATCTGGCCCAAGAGAACTTTGAGAGAATGTGGTGTTGGTTATATCCTGTAGCTTTTACTTTATCCAGACAATGGATAAATGCAATGTGGAGTTCTTTGTCGCCCAAGTGGATTGAAGGATTCATTACTAAGGAAGAAGCTGAATTATCACTTCAAGGTCCGACGGGTCTTCAAGAGCCTGGGACGTTTATTCTCCGATTTCCCACTTCAAGAAGCTGGCCTCACCCTGATGCTGGTAGCTTGGTAGTTACCTATGTTGGTAGTGATTGTTCTCTTCATCATAGGCTTCTTTTGCTTGATCACATTTTCAGGTAATAAGGTCATTTTGTTTATCCTAGTTATGAATAACATTGCAATTTGTATGATGTCATATTTGCTGGACAACTCCCCCTTAAATGGGTTTATGAATTTTCTTTGGAAGGCTAAATCTAAAGTTTAAGTACAGAAGAATTTTAGGTTGAAAACTTGAGGCTTGTTTGATAACGTTCTAGATTTTTGTCTTTTGTTTCCTCTTTTTTAATAAAGAAAAATATAATTGTATTTGGTAATCTTTATAAGTCAAGCAAAACAATATTTTTATTTATGTTTTGGAAAAAAATTGGAAACGGAAACCAGAAACAAAAAACTTGATTCTGTTGTTTCTAAAATTTCTATACAATTTTGGAAACGTTTCTAAAAATTGGGAAACAGAAAACATAAATAGTTGTCAAATGCTTAAATTTCTAAATAAAACTGAAAACAAAAAACATGAATGTTACCAAAGGGGAAACTTTCTCGAAGATTAGTGGGGTGGACTCTGAGTCGGAGCATAATGCGAGGCCTGGTTATTTAAAAAATAAAAAATAAAAGAAAAAGTGAAGTTTAGAAGGCTTAAATGTTCTTTAGTGGAAACGAGTTTGGCCGTGTTGGACATAACCTTTTAATCATTGATATCTCTGATACTGTGTACATTTAAAGGGGTATTGTATCTACAAAGTTCCATGCATTTTATCTTCCGTACTTCTAAGTGATGTTGTATCATGTTATTAATTAACAAGTACGTTACTTCATATCTTATGAATGTAATGGATTAATCCATTAAAATAGAAAAGGTGCCTTGTCAAAACATATTTCGACTATTCTCAGCAAGTTATAGACAACAATGCCTGTGTGGTTGTGCAAGTTTAGTGATAGTTTTGCCTCTTAGAGAGTATATTCACCTTCTACATGCCTAAACCATGAGGTTTGTCTTTTGTAGTTCTGCTGAAGGAGAGAAGAGTATGAGGAGTCTTCAAGACATGCTCCTAGCAGAACCCGAGCTCTCTCGATTAGGAAGGTACAATCCAAAACCTTACTTTATGAATTTTTTTCGTCTCTTCATTTGACTGTCATATCACCCTTTTCTTCCTGTGTTTGTGGGGAGGTCAAACACACCCTGCTAATGTATGTAAATCCATAATATACAGGGCAATACGAAGTCACTGAATCATTACAGAAATTGCAATGTCCATCCACATCATTTCTTTTGTTTGCTTTACCTACAGACAGCTTCCCAGTTAAGTTGTACATATTGCGAATACAAGAGTCGTCTTGAGGTGAATATTTATAGGCACGTCGGAGCAAATTCCAGAACCAAGATTTAAAAGGTCCTCTCTTCGGGATGTTACTTATCAAGTAAAAATGGTGGAACTTCGTCGGTAATACTTGTACATCAACTTGAATATTGATGAAGACGATCTGATTGTTAGTCTTCTGTCGTGTAATCGTCCCTCAGCAGTTTTGGTTGTAGTTCCTTAACAAATCCTTGAACTAGTCATCAATTCCTGTGAATGTTTTCTTATCCCAAAGTAGAATCTACTGTATGAGTTAAAACTGATTCCACCAAGAGTGATCCAAAAACTACCATTTTTTAAGGTGAAATCTCCATCTTCTTCCATTGAATGAAAACATATATTGAGAGCCCATTTCAAGTCACAGAAGGCCAAAGCATGTGATGTGAATAAATAAAAAAGTAGTCTTCCTCAGCTGTATTTCTTTCCTAATTTGCCATTGATATTGTTTTTTTTTTCCTTTTTTGACACAATTTGCCATTGATATGTTGGCTTGTGAGTTTCCCAACTCCTTGAGGGAAAGCCAAAGGACAGATGGTACAGAATCTATGGACGACAGCACAACCTTTCACATGATGCATGCTTTGCCAATTCCTTTTTCATCCTCTCTATTCTACCAACTCATCAACTATTTGTAGCTCAGATTTTCATCCATACATTTGTAATTGTTAAGGAAATTTTAAAATTTTATCATCATATTAGTGTCATGCTGGTTCGTGTTTCCTATATTTGACATTTTCTCATTAGTGAACGTTTAGTAGGTGTCGACTAAAATATAGAGATGAAATTGGTACAACCGTTAACATCGACAAAGAGCGAACTAAGTTCCCATGCAATTATTTTCTTTTTGGGGGGAAATGTTGACTTTTCCTACATGAATAATTGCTCAAAGTCATAAATTTGAATTGCAGCACAAGGGAAAAGGCAAGATGTTTAAAGTGTTCGAAACCAAGATGTTGATGAACACTAGAGTTTGGTCAAAATGGGAGGCTGTGAGTGTAAACAGTAAGATCTAGCCACATGAAAGATTGTTTTTTTTTTCCACAAAAACACCTGTTCTAATTTTGTAAAACAAGCTTTGTATTTTGTAATGAATTTTGATAACCAAGAGATAACATACATTTTCGTGTTGAGTTTAGAGATTGAAATAAAATACTTAAAAATGATAGGATAAACTAACTGCTTTTTTTTTTCATTAGGATAAAGGTAGGAAAACATTTAGCTCCTTAATTATAAAGAACCAAATCTTCTCCTCACCACCATTTAAAAATTGATAATTCATTCTTTTAAAAAAGTCTCTTAATTGTTAAATATTTAATAGTGACGAGGACAAAATTGCTCCTTACACGAGTATTTTCCATGAGAATATCTCTTAAAAGTCGACTAATGCACTAAAAGTATCTAGTACTGTTTCTAAGGCAGTCTTAGACACATGTCAAACTGTGATTTGTGGTGGGATTTTGCATTGAAATTGGAGGCATGTCAATCAGAAAAGTACAGACAAACACAAATCCCCATGAGCAAATGATAAAGCTTTCATTTTTGTCAAATCAGCCAATCATATTTACAGTCCCTCAGGAAAAGCTGTCATCCTCTTCCAAAGTTGCACTCTCTCTCTCTCTCTCTCTCTCCTGCTTGTTTTTCTTCTGGTTTCCATCCCTGTTCATGTTACAGCTTATGGAGATCAGGTAAGTTCATACACAGCCTTCTCCTGTTCTTGCTTTCATTTTGTTATGTTGAAATCTTGGCTTCTTGATTGCTTCTCTAGCTCAACCCAGTGTTCGGTTTCTTTGTTTAAGCTTGATTCTTCAAGTTCCATATCTTTCGTTCAGATCTTGGGGTTGTTATCCTCTCTGAATTTTGTAGTCTGCCTTTTGGATGGTCAATATCTTTTTCCTGCATCTTTCAGTTGTGGCAGAGAAAAACCTTCGGTTGCTACAGCTCACTGATGCCGAGAAACATATTGAAAGATCGTCAACTTGCCGTCTTCATGTAGAGTTGATTAGTGGAAACGTCGGGAGTTCAAGAGTGCTGCCTTCCATACAAACTATTCTGAACATTTTTACGGTTTGTAGAATCAAATGGACAGAGGTCAGGCTATAGCATTCTATGCCACGATCAGTTGCGTCGCTTTCATTGTGTCGAAGATCTTCATAGCATTGCTTCTTTACAAACGCTGGAAAAGAAGACACGTGATTTATGAAGACGGGATATCAGGTATAATTGATTCTAAACTCGAAAAGCAGAAACTTCTTGAGAATAGGTGTTTGATTGGTTAAAATTAACGGGTTGAATGCATATATAGGTGGGACGATGGTCATGTTCAAATCTGCAGGAACAAAGTCCCTAAAATCAGATGCATTCCTCAAGAAAACACTAAAGCTGAACAACAAAGACATCATTGGCTCTGGAGGCCATGGGACAGTTTACAAACTTACACTAAGCGACTCCACGACATATGCGGTGAAAAGACTGAACCGAGGAAGTGTCGAGAGAGATCAAGGATTTGAACGAGAATTGGAAGCGATGGGCGACATAAAGCACCGGAATATCGTAACACTTCATGGATACTACACTGCCCCTCACTATAATCTCCTTATATATGAGCTAATGCCAAATGGAAGTTTGTATGCGTACCTACATGGTATATATATCAAAGCCTTTGATTTCACGATGCTTCTAAGTGATCATATAGCGTGTTGATTTCGTCCTGAAATCAATGATACTGCAGGAAGATCAAATGAGAAGATTTTGGATTGGCCATCGCGATATAAAATAGCAGTAGGTGCAGCGAGAGGCATATCGTACCTTCATCATGACTGCATCCCGCACATCATACACAGAGATATCAAGTCAAGCAACATACTTTTGGATCAAAACATGGATGCCCGAGTATCCGACTTTGGATTGGCAACACTCATGGAACCAGACAAGACTCATGTTTCAACAATTGTGGCAGGCACATTTGGATACTTGGCTCCAGGTATAAGCTCACAAAGCCATTCTACTTTACCCCTCCCTTGCTTGGCATTGACAACACTAACTTCATTTCTGCAGAATACTTCGATACCGGGCGAGCAACGGCGAAAGGAGATGTCTACAGCTTTGGTGTAGTACTACTCGAGCTCTTAACAGGGAAAAAACCGACCGATGAAGCATTTATGGAAGAGGGAACCAAACTTGTGATGTGGGTAAGTGAATCATGAACCATATTTTAGTAGCCTAAGAAAGTCATAGTCTTTAGGTTGGTTGACTGCTCATATTGATTATATAAAATGGATAGTTTTCGATGTGTTCGATCACCGACAACCCAGATGTTGTGGTGATATCTTGGACTGAACAAGAGGCAATAAATTCAGTACTCAAGTGCTATAAACTGAAAGCATCATTCATAAAAAAGAATGGATAGTTTAATAACAGGCTATTCCTTTTCTTAACTTTCATGGTGTAATGGAAATGACAGGTGAAAACAGTTGTTCAGGAGAAAAGGGAAGAATATGTACTTGACAGTAGTTTGGTCTGTTGTCCGATTGACGAAGTTAATGGCGTATTCAGCATTGCAATGAAGTGTCTTGAACCAGAACCCGCTCAGCGACCGACAATGGCACAGGTTCTCAAAATGCTTGAGCAGATAAAGTTGAATCGAATTGTAACATATTCTTGAGTTGGCCCCTTTCTCCTACATGTATCATAATACACTTATTTTGATCTCTGATTTGTAACTTGATTGGTGGATCCATATCCAAATGTTCATTCAAACTAATTGAAAGTACAAGAAAGATGAGGATCTATTTCAAAACTGCAGCCAATCCAGTTGCAACAGAAGCCTTCAAAGTAGGAGAAACAGGGGAGTCTCCGAAAAAAACATCGAAAAGAGCCGACGTCACATTATTCGATTCAATTGTAGCTTCTACTCCTGTTGGCAGGCCATCTACTGAGATGCTGACCTGCAATTCACACGCAACGTCTCCCGTATCAGAATTTGCAAATTGAAACTAGGTAGAAGATAAAACTAAGAATGTCTATGCCATATCATAACTGCTGGAAGAAAAAGAAGTTAAAAATGTTTGGTCATCTAAATTTTAAACATACAAGCATCTTTGGAGGTTCCAGCCATGTCAAGAATATGAAAGTTCCTTTCTTAAGAGACCGCCCTTGGAAGATGCTACGGAAGGTAGATAATGCCAATTCATCGACCGGTGTTGGTGCTTTGATTCTCGGAGAAATAGCGTCGTCCAAGGCGTCCCAGAAAGTTTTACCATCAACATCTCGGACCAGAACAATCTGTAAAGATTTTTCTGAGGGAGCTGCCATTAAAAGAAAAGAAACCTATAGTTACATAACTGAGCTTCAACACAGTTATGCAAAATTTATATGTATGGTTATTAGTATTACACTTAAAGATTATATTGAACAAGGAAGAGTCCTCCTGGATCACAGTGGCTGATCGTCCCCTCCAAGAATTTAATTCATTTGAGACAGATGTATTGATGTATAGTCCTGCAGCATAAACCTTAACACCAATGATTGCAAAAACTTTCTCTCTGTAACCTGAAATATTTGCAGCTAATCAAGATCCAATTGAAGAACATAGTCCAGTTACAAGTATCACAATTTCGAATGTAAAAAACCCATAGTTTGCATTAGGACAATAAACATCTCTATCATCTTTGATCCAGTTTCTGCTGCAGTAACATAAAACTTCATCTTACAACCAACAAATTGTGCGTTTAATGACGGTATTATTAACAGAAAGTCGTTTTTCTTCCTCGCTCGTAAGAAAATTTTGTTGATCTCTTCATTCTTGAGACTTGGGAGCAATTTTATTGCCTGCACCAATATTTTGTTACAGTTGCAGTATAAAATTCTGAGAGCCTTTGGTTCTAATGGTTCTCTTTTGTGCATTGCAGCCAAAATATGAGCAGTGGACGATTTCAACAGTATAAAGTTATAAACTTTCATAAATTCAGTTGAACACTGTATTCTTCTTCCTCTTTAGTAGAATTCTCAATTCAGTAAGACAATATAATGGAACTGACCTGTTCCGAGCAGTGACAGTGAAGTTGAGCACCCTGGCAGAGACAAGGACGTCGAAAATTTCACATTTGTTGAAGGCTCCACCACATATTCTGTATTTCCAACTGTTGTAACCATTGATTAAAGTGAAAAGGCTTTACCACTACTTTCTGAGGGGAAAAAAATAAAAAAGAAGAGACAGAGATGAAAAATCTCTAACATTCCTCTTTTCTTTGAGAGAGATGGAGTTTCTCCAACATTCCTATTTTCTAAATCTCTAACATTCCTCTTTTCTAAATCTTGATTTTCTAACAGATTAATTTCTGAAATTTCTCCAACTTAGCTTTCATGTGAACATCTGCATAAGTTCTTATGTGGTTAATACGCACACGAACAATGGGCCAACCCCTATTTCTACGATGGTATGAAATTGTCCATTTCGAAGGAGGCTTGGTGGTACATCGTTTAAGGAGAAGATTGTTGGTATTAAAGTGAGAACAACATTTCAACTCGCACAATATCATATCATCATAGAAAATCGATTAGTTACAAACAAACAGGCACAACTTATACTCAACATTACCCTCAACTTTATAAATCATTACATTCAACTCCATCTGATTTAACCCCCAAATTTCTCATCATATATGAATCTATACTAAGAGAAAAACAGCCGAAAAAAGAACCCTTTAAGCAGAAACTCAAGAATCACTCCACAGACAAAAGGTAATAAAAAAAAGAAAAGAAAAGAAACATAGAACAGATACAGATTCTACAGGAGATTGACATTTCCATTACCTGAAGCAATGGAGGAAGAAGCTTTGAGAGAGAAACTGGAGCAAAATCTACAGTTGTTGTGGAGAGAGAGAGACTGAACTTGGTACAATGAGAGAGATGGAGTTGGGGGTTTTGTTAGGACGCAAATTCTGGGATTGGAATTCCATTTCACAGTGGGAATGGTGGAGGGGAACTTTAATGGCGTGGAATTTGCAGCATTTCCAGCCATTGTAGAGATTCTTCTTCCTCTTTCGAAATTCTGAGTGGGATTTGAACTCTCTACAAAAGTAAAAAGGAGTGGATAAGAGAGTAGATCCAAGGGATTGTTGTTTCTGCCCAAAACAGCACCTTCTGACTTGGATTTATTGTCCTCATCCCTTAGTATACTAGTTTCATAATCATAGTATTGTTTGATTGATGATATTTGAGATTCAATCATATTTAAAATTAAAAAAAGAATTATAGTGTAAACCAAAAGAATATATATTAAATGAGTACTTGGAATTGGGTACCAAATGCTTCCAATCAAAGGGAGGGGAAGAGAAGATAACAAAAGTGAATTTTGATTCTTATTCATGGATAGCTTGAAATTCACTTTTATAGATAGGTTTTCATTATGCTTACATGGAAATAAACAAATTGAAAATTTTCAATTTTTTCCTAAGAACTTGTTCTTTTATAGGTGGTCAATTTTAACCTCAAACTTTGAATTTCATTCCTTTAAACTCTAAACTTCGATTAGTATAAGAATTAATCATGTCAAAGAAACGCTCAAACTCATCATAGATTAAAAAAGAAAAAATAGTCAAACTTAGCAATGAAGTGCTCAAACTTAACGATAATTTAAATTTCTGACATAGCTCAATCGRTTAAAACTTGTACTTATTTGTCTAAAAGTCAAAAGATTTGAATACTCCCATGGTTGAACTCAAAATCCACCCAAATTGAAACTTAAAAGAAAACAATAAATTAATTTTAGGGGGAGAAATGTCCCTCAAATAGTAACTCTAGGATTCAAGAAAAAACTCCTCCCACGGAGCATTCCACTATGAAAGTAGAATAAAATTCTCTTGGGACCCTTTTATCATTATAGATCGAGATGAGATATTCTTGTTAGTACAATAAATATGTGTATAAAAATTTAAATCTCCAACCCAAAAGAAAGTAGACGTAATTTTTCATTGAATAATATTCAGGTTGGTTATCAAGATGGGACTACAATCACCTACATTAGCCCTTTTTTTTAAGTGAATATTTTAGAGTTGATCTTATTTCTCCGCCTAAAGTGATAATATTTGAAAGGTCGTTGTAACATTTCTTTCGGTGGACATATTTTGGTATCTTGAGAGAACTCAATAAATTTGAGTTTAAAGATAACAAAAAGATATACATAYATATGTATAATCTAAAACTTAGAGACTTTAGTTAATCTTCTTTTTCCTTTTAGGAAGGTTATAAAGACAAAATAAAACAAGAATATATTAACTTTTTATTAACAAAATTTTCCTAAAAGAAATTAATTGATGCCAACRTGAGTTCAAATCTCCGAAGATATCAGAAGTGAGAAGTGAGAATGCTGACATGAGTAAAGAGAAACCCAGGGTGGCCTGCCACCCCATTGGTTGTACCCAATGAAAAGAAAAAAATATAAAAGGATTTAATTAATAAATATTTAATACAATTGTGCTTAAAATTGAGAGTTTTAAAAGAATAAATGATTTTTTTAGCACTTATTTTTTATGGGTTAAAAAGTACATTTAGTCCCTGAATTTTTAATTGTAACGATTTAGTCCTTATATTTTTATATTGATAACAATTTTTTCGAACGATTTAATTTTTGTAATATATAAACTAATTCTATTATTTATCAATTTATCCGTCTACATATATAAAAAATTAACCAAAAAAATTCACAAATAGAGACTAAATTGTTACAAACTTCAATTTGAAAATATAGAGACGAACTAAGTCATTGCTTGAATGATCAAAAGTGTTATTTAACATTTTTTATTTTTAATTTTTAAGAAAAGGAGAGTTATTAAAAGCCTCCATGAACGTGCACCTCGATCCGATGGTCAAGAAAAGTAAATTTTTTGTGAAAATAAAAGAAAGTCGAAGAGAAAGTGGGAGAAAAAGAAGAAGCTGCAACTGCAAGGAGGAAAAATCCACAAAAAGCGTCGCCATCATGTGCCCGTCCTTTGAGCCTCCTTCAATCTCTTCGCTTTCCGTTTTTCTATTTCTTTTCTCCCGAGAAGATTTCGATTCCCCCACCTACCCTAACGGCTCCGCATCGCATTACTACTGGAATTTGTAGCCGTTACCATGGACACCCGACGATTTTCCTGCTATAAATCCTCCTCCATCCTCTGATTTTGGCGATCACCAAATCCTCCGCCCTCGATTTCACGTATCTGTAGCTCTTTCTTCGATTTCAGATCTGGTTGTTGCAGAAATCAGGTACGATTAATGGCGGCGGCGGCGGCTCTCTGCTTTTCGCTTCTGTTCCTCTCTTTCCTCTCAGGTGCGTTAATTTGCGCAGTTTTCGATTCGAGGAATCAACTGAATCTGAATGAATCATTGCTGAATTTCCTTCTCTCTACTTCCGATTTGTGTTTCAGAAGGAGATTTGCTGGCGGTGAATGGAGAGGTAATTCTAATTCTCGTCGAATTGCAGATCAGAGCATGAACAGAATTAGGTTGAAAACTGAATTGATTTTAATTTTTCCCCCTCCATGCGATATGAAATTTGCAGAAGACGTGGTGCGTCGCGAGGCCGTCGTCGGATAAAGCTACGCTACTGGCGAATATCAATTACGCTTGCTCGCAGGTGGATTGCAGGATAATGCAGAAGGGATGCCCCTGCTTTTATCCTGATAATCTGATCAACGGCGCCTCCGTAGCCATGAATCTCTATTATCATTCCAGAGGGAAGAATCAGTGGAACTGTGATTTCAGAGGCTCTGCTCTCATTGTCATCACTGATCCAAGTGAGTCCGCTTCTTTGATTGATCTTTGGAATTTTTGTTCCTGTTCGTTCTTCATCTTTTTTGATTTGTGGTTCTAATTTTGCAGGTTATGGAAACTGCATTTACCCTTGAAATTATATATAGATTATAAAGTTTGCTCTGATTTTTATTGAAGATTCGATGTAAGTGAGAAAGAGATAGGATACTGAATTAATGAAAGCTACTACATCAGAAATTTGGGCTTTAGCATCAATTATTTATTGTTAACTTTTTTTTTTTTAAAAATTCAACAATAACATCTAATATTAATGTGCCTTGTCCCCTGAGTTATAATTTTTCTTTTTAATCTGTTTAGATCGTGTATATTTTGAAGATTATATATATATATATATATATATATATATATATATATTTGCTTGTACTTTCAACTAAAATATTTTTCGAAGAAGTCGAATGAAGCTAGCAATATCGAGTTTATGTCTCCTCTTCTTAACGGGAAGTAAAAATAATATAGGGATCACATATATTATAAAGTAGTAAATTATTAATTATTAATATTGGATTTTATATTATTTAAACTATTTACACCCCTAATTTAAAGTCCATTTTTATTTATTGTAGTGGAATATCAATAACGACCACTTTCTTAGGAGGTGGATATTTAACTATGGAGTAAGTGGATGAGTAATTTCTAAAAGATATCATCATATTTCTCAATTTCACAGTTAATAACTAATTGAAACTATAAGCTAAAAATTAATTTTCTTTACCTTGAAGTATTTACCCTATTTAAAATATCATGGAGAATATTAAATCCATTATATTTATCAAAAAAGTTAAAAGAATAAACTATATAAATAAGTGAAAATAAATATATACAACAACTAATATCAGATAATAAAATTAAAGGCAAATAATTTAATAGACTAAATTTATGAAATGATCCCTATTTATCTTTATGATTTTTCTCGATTTTATCTTTAATCTTTAAAAATTCTCCATTTGATATTCTTCAGTGAAATTGTACATATTTGGTTACATCGCATAAATTTTTTTTTTGGAAATAGGAAAGTTGAATTTTAGTAACGAATGAGTTGTGAAGGTGGCTCTTGAGATATATGTCAAATTAGTGGAGAGTTATTTAGATTATTAATAAATTTGGAAAGATCTAATTGAAAAATTTTAATACATTAAATATAAAATCAATAAATTAAAAAGATTAAGAAATAAATTAGGGGCCAATTAAAATCATGAACAAGTACCTTTTAATAGGGTTTAGGTTTATAAGGGTAAAAGTGTCATTTCGCGCAGAGGTATTTCGCGTATTTAAGGAGAAGCCAATCTAGGGTTTGAGCCACTGCCTTTGAGAGAACAGAGCGTCGAAAGAAAAATGGCGCTGTTTGTTCCGTTGCAGGCACAGATCAAATTCTGGATTCCTTCTTCTCAATTTCTGTAAGTTTGATTCTTGATCAAGCGATTTGCAGTTTCGCAGGAAGGATTTACATTACATTATTGTTCTTTATTTTGTAAAACTAAAGCTGATTTCTTCAAGGCCGATCCAATGGGTTCTCAGACGAGATAAACGATTACTCGAGGACTCAATTTCACCCGGCCAAGATTTGATTCGGGGCAGCATTCCTTAAGGTTTGCATGTTCTTGTATTCATGCTCTAATTCAGGAAACTGCCCTAAATTCTCTCTCTCTCTCTTTCTCGTGCGTAGATTTTTCTTTTGATTAGATTAGGTTTGTATTCTGTGATTTCTTCGACGAACGACGCCGTCCCCTAGGGTTCTTCAGTGGAAAAGTTGGATCTCATTGTTTGTTGGGTGGTTTTCTGCGGGAAATAGTTTTAGATTTGAACAAATTACAGAGGTGCTTGAGCCATCTTGAGGCGGCCTAAACAAGCAGCCATTTTAATTAACAAATATTTTATTCGACATCTCATTCATCCAAAGCATTCCATGATGTTTTCCGATTCTGCAACAATGGCAGGGAGAATTTGACTCTAAAGTGACTTTTAAAAGTTTGACTTTCAAAAGTCTGTGAAATGCTCAAATGGCCCCTCTCTTCAAAATGTGCCTAAATGATCCAACGATATAAGGCAGCGAAATTATAGAACTATCTCGAAAAATCTCATTTGAGGTTGAGCCTCTTTCAATTACAGACTTAACTTCGCCCGAGGTTGAACCCGAGAAAAATGACATTGCGTTAACTTTTTCTATCACCAATTGTTGACCTCGGCAAAACCTACGAAACCTCGCTTGAGGTTCATTGTTTCTTATGAAACTCGACTAGGAAACTAGAGCTTTTACTTGAAGTTCATAGTCAATCTTAACAAAATAATATGAAACTAAATTTAAAAATGACAAATTTCAAAATCAATGCAAATAAAACAGTAAAATTGTTTTCAATTTTACAATCTTCAGAAGAAATCAAAACAGCAAAATTAAGGATAATGGTTGAGTATTAATATGATCTCAACTAGGTTTTTTTCGGGGGTAATGTCCTATAATTAAGGGTATGTTGGTTATTTCATTTCTTTTGACATATCATTAATGCTGCACATTTTGCAGGATTAATTTCAAAAACTTTGGAAGGTCATTTGAATCAATTTTGTCAAAATAAGTTGCTTTTTCCTTGTAAAAATTTTAGACTATATAACAATTAAAATTGGGGTCGTTTTCCCACAATTTCTTTCATAATGTTTGTGTTTCACTTGCAGAAAAAATTTCTTTTAAGGTAGTGATGTTTATAAGTTTAATTTTAAATAAACCATAGTTAATTATGTAAATTAACAATACCCTGTATAAGAAGTTTTCTCTTTGTATTAGTTGATAAAAGCTCGAGAAAATTCAAAGTTAAGTATAGAAATTCTAATTAATGTCAAATAGACCCATAGATAATTGACTTAATTAAGTCAATTAGACTATGATTTAAATATATCCTTTGTTTATTTTCTATTCTCGCTTCTTTTCAAAAAAAAAAAAAAATCCATTCTCATCTCATGACTCAAGTTGTAAGCTTAAGCATTTCAACTTTCAAAACAACCCGTGAGGTTTGTACTTTATAGAGAGAGGAAAAAAGGGCGACTTTTCCAAGCTTTTACTGGGCTCAATACTTGAGTTTTTAGCTGAATTTGCTCGGAAGAAGCCCATTTGCAAGGCTCCTTCCAAACACTTGTATGCAGGTAAATTAAAGGAACAAATGCATAAATAATCAGTGCATTGACAACTTGTATGTATTTCTCATTAGAAGAATAAGCAACTGTGTTTATATTGGGGAAGGTTTGGAGCTCGGGCAGCCAGTTGGCAAGGGTTTGGGGCTTTCATGATCATTTTGATTTGGATGTTTCAAGTTTGTATCTTATGGTGAGTTTAATACCAAGATCCTTTGATACAGATGAAGTTTGAAGTTTGGAAGAATGAGGAATGTCGGCAACATTGTGTTGATTGTGTGACAAGTAGGTGAGATGAATGCATTAAGAAGAGAGTAGAGCCGAACTACGGTCAACCTAAGCATAGTACTATTGACCTGATAGTAGGTTGGGGATTGCGGGAGAGAGATTGATTTAAATTTTTTTTTGCTATGCACCACCATTATAGTTAGATTTCCAATTTGAGTACGGTTTACGGTTTTGTTCACGTTGGCACCGTTCTCTCTCTTCCATCCTTATTATTTTATAATCCATTTGAATTTTTGACTCCTTGAGAAAAAATCTTATTGGTGACCCTTTCATTTTATTTGATTTTACTTATTTTCATTTTTGTATTTATAAGATTCTCAAAATATTTTCAGGCAAAATTTTCCACCATCTTTGGTTCCCTAAACTTGGAATCCTTGTCAAAAACCTTCTATTGACCAGATTATAGATCCCAAATAATAAGAAAAGTTTATTTTAGAATGAAGAGAAGTTCAGATTTTCCACTTTCCATTTCAGTTTATAAACAAACGTTTTTGAGTCAGTCGTTCAACAAGAAACTAAGAATAGAAAACAAGTTGAGAAATCAGAAATGGACAAAATGAGGATCTCACGTACACAGATTAAAAAGGGACAAAATAAGGAAATGCGTATCCCTAATACTTTCTCTATCGTATTCGTCTTCACCGGCGACGACCATCTGGTCGGAGAAATGATTATTGTTATTANAAGAAAGAAAGAGAACGAGAGAAGAGAGAGAACACAAGCATGGGAGTGGAGCGCCTCCTACAAAAGCCCCTCCCCGCCTCTTCGTTGTATATCGTCGAAATATCAATATTTTTTCGATAAAAAGGAACTTTTTCTCCAATGTTGACGTCGAGCATGACTTTTTGAACCCTGGTTAAAAAACAGACAAAAAGGATTTATTGGGAAAAAGACCTTTGATTTGAAACAAATTTTAAAATACAAAATCAAGGCCCATTGTTTTTGTTTTTCATCAGGTCATGTAACTCTATCGTTGAATGTTACTTTTCTTCTTTTCTCTACGTGGGTCTAAATTCACCAATTTTGATTTTTGTAAATTAATATTTCTATAATATTACCCAAAAAAATATGAAAAATATTAACAAAATATCACTAATATAGACATAATGTTAATATTAATTATTTTAAACTTATTTAGAAATTGTGAAATGCTTATTTGTCAATTTAAATATTTTTTTCGATTTTTTATAATATTTTCAAAAATATTTATAGATCTCGACATTTTATTGTATTTCTACAAAATTGGGACCTCGAAATTTCTGACATCAATATTTAAAATCTTGGTTGATGTTATGGAGATCTAACTTCTCTCCCAACAATAAAAATGAAACAAATCACTTCTTTAAAATTAGATTGACTAGTAAGAAACACGTGTGATGCACGTGAAATTTCATAATTTTTATTTCAATGTTTAAAAATATATAATTTAATTAAATAGTTAAAATTTATAATCTAATTTGGTTTTTTTTTATCTCTAAATGTTTACATCACCAAGTTTTTTCCTATTTGCAATGTTTATCTCATCAAACGTCTCAATAATTCTTATTACCCACTAACGAACAAGTAAATAAAACTTTGTTTCAATTTCTTATTTGAGTCACTGAAAAATAAAATGACAAAAAAAAAATAGTGAGAGATAGAGATGTGTTCAGGACAGTCGTTCCTTGCCATGTTCGGTTCTGGTCCAATTCCTTGCCCTAGCTCGCTGGGAATGCCAACCGCAGCCATGTTCCGATAGATTGCTTCAGCTACTTTCATCACACGATGATCGCCTTACGAAGGAGGAGGTCATTGAGAGAGTCCTTGCGGTTATCAAGTGTCATCCCAAAGTGGATCCGTCCAATGTGATTCG